AGTTCTATATGCTTAATTAATCTGTATGTCAGTTTCCTTTCCCATATTTGGGAAATTTTAGGCTATTACTTCTGTAAATACTTATATCATTTGTGTTGTCACCTTTTTTGTTTACACATGTCAATCTTATATTGTTTTTCTCTGCATCACTGTGCAACTGTTGAATTGTTATTTCCTGATTCCTTCTCATTTTTAAAAGATCTTTCCTTTCTTGTTCACTACTTGTAATCTTGTCTTCGAGGTGTGAAAGACTGTCTTCATTTTCACTGAGGCTGTTTTGCCAGCTTTCGATGGAATTTTTTTCTTTTTTCTTTTTTGGTATTGGGAATTGAACTCACAATTGCACATTTAAAAAAAAATTTTATTTTGAATGTAGTAAAAATACAACAGAACAAGACAGGACAAAGCCAATCGAGACAATATAGTGACATTGGTACAGAACTTCCAAAGCAGGATACTAGGATAGTAGTAATAGGTGCTATAGTATATCTCGTTATCTTCACAATAGTTGTCCAGTCAATTAGGTATAGCGAAATCAAACTAATAACAGAACATTATAAAACCAATTGAAGGAGAATACTGAATAGAGCAAAACAATTATTACAAAACATAATAGTGGGGGGCTAGGGGTTTAGCTCAGCGGCATAAGCGCCTGCCTTGAAAGCAGGCAGTCGTGAGTTCTCTCCCTGGTACTGATAAAAAGGAGAAAAACAAAAAAACAAAACAAAACAAAAACATAATAGTGAAAATAACCTTTGCCTTCAAACAGAACATAGAAGGAAATCCCCCATATTTGCTATATTGCATATGGTCATCCTCGCAAGAGATGCTCAGAACTCTGTCCCTAATTGCTGACAGGGGTGGGGGGGAAGATGTTTGATTTTCAGCCTGTGCGCCAGTAGGTTCACAGGAACAGCTGATTGGTTCTCCTCTTGGTGGCGCCAGGGGCGCTTACCAAGAGAGTGGGCATATTGCTTTCCTGTGTAGCTACCTAAGTCCCAGTATGGCCGGATCTTGGTTAGCCGCTAGTTCACGACTTTGCATTTGTCAAGCAGGCACTTATGCCACTGAGCTAAACCCCCTGCCCTCAATGGAATTTTTGATTGCCTGGATATCTCTTTGAATCTGTCTCATGCATTGTGTTTCTTACATTGTTCATTCAAGGTTTTCATCTTTTTGCAGTGCTCCTCACTACACAGTACACCAAAGCTTCCTAGCTGCTTGGGGTCACTGGGTGGGGCCCTAATAGGTTCCAGGTGAGGTACTGAGCTTGCATGGCTAGGTAGATTTTGCTGTGCAGGCTTTTTGCTTTCACCACTGAGCAGAGAAGGTTCTGCCAGTTAGGGTTTTTGGGCAGGGCCCAACCAAAATCTGAGCGACCTACTAAGTCTCCCTGGCTATTTTGGGGACACTGTGCGGGGCCCTCTCAGGTTCCAGGTGAGGTTCTGAGCTTGCACGGCTAGGTGGAGTTCACTGTGCAGGCCTTCTGCTTGCACCAGTGCATAAGGAGGTTTCCCTGCCACTCAGAGTGGCTGGGTGGGCCAAAGGAATATTTTAAAATAGCAGAAAGTTAAAAAATAGTTGACAGTTTCTGTGACCCACATGGCTCTTAAGGTTCTTGGGGTGAAGGACCATGATAGGATGAGAAAATAAAGAGGCAAAACTGGGGTCAGGTGAAACCCTTATCTTCCTGATGGAAGGGAAGGAACTTGGCCCTCACTGTAGGGGTGTTTTTTTTATACCTTTTATCAACTTAATGTCACATGACACCCAGTTTTCCTAGCAGCCCACTGTTCTGATTGTCTTGGGGCTAGGTCTTTTCTGAGCAGAAGCAGCTTCTTCATGTGGCTGGCCCTGGGCACTTTGTTCTTGGGATGGCCATGCCCCAGCCTTGCATGTGTGGTCAATTTCCAGTTTCAGTGGCTCCCAACAAGTAGTAACATTTTAGAACCCTTTATTATTTCAAAGGAATGTTACCAAAGTGGTTTTGTTTAGGTAATCCAGAACATTTGTCAGTTAAAAAAAATAAGTGCATATTTATTAGCTTAGGCTTTGGTCTTCATGTTAAATAACACTAGCTGTTATAGCAGATACATTTAAAATGACCTAGACTGACAGAAGTTTTCCATTTTCTATTGGGGGCTTGCAAGGCCATCTGAGGAGAATGGAAAATTGGCCAGCCTGGAAATGGCTTAATCATACTCACCCATTTCAATTGCCAGAACTCAGTTATAGGACCATGTCTAATTGCTTGAGGGTGGGGAATGTCATGTAGTTTGTGCCAGGAGGGAGGAAAATCATGTTTGTTCAACATCTAGCTAGTCCCTGCCACAGACCCAAGAAATCCTTTTGTTCCCGTCTTATTCCTAAAACTGTGGTCCCTTTCTATTCCATCTATACCAACAGAGTTTTATATCACAATGATTTTGAATGTTGGGGAAGGGCTTTTCCAAAACTTGGTAGAAAGTTTGGAAAAGCTTGTTTCCTTCTGCTTATGGACAGGTTGATTTTTGACAACTGCCACTTTCCTTCAGTCCTTACTGTAATGAGACATGTCCTCAGACTTTTCTCACTTTGTTAGTTCAATCAGGTAGAAGTCAGAAGAGAAAGCCAAAGAAAGCAGGTCACTGGGTCTCAACTGTTTTCACATAATAGGCTCCTCAAAGGAAGTGTGACTAGAAAACTGCCTTTAAAAAAAAAATTGAGATATTTAGTGTAGGTTGACCTTGAACTTGCTTGTAGTTCAGGCTGGTCTCCAACTCACTGTAGTCTTTCTGCCTCAGTTTCCCTGATGCTGGGATTATAGGTATACACCACTGTGTCGGATCTATACTTAACTTTTTTGATTATTTTGGGCACTCAGTTTGAAGCAGCACAGGAGAGATAAAAAGAAGACAAAGTATTAAGAGACCTTTAATGAGGGAATAGGAGAGGCTGTGGAGAAATGTAGGGGCTCTTTCGCTAGACAAAGGGCTGGGGCCTGCTTATATTAACTCATTGGGGTGGTGCTAAATTAGCTGGTGATGGTGGAGCAGGAGTGACCTTTTATCTAGGGATTGGAGTGCTTTTAGGGCGAGTGGGAAGGAAAGGCAGGAAGTCTATTTTGGGTCTGGACCACCAGAAGAAGAAGACTGACAAGGTGTCTTTATGGTCTTACCATGCTGGACCTCTGTGATGATTGGCAGATTTATGTGGCTAAAAATCTGTCATTTTTGAAGGACTGCCATACTGTTTTCCATAGTGGCTATACCATTTAACATTTTCACCAACAGTACAGGAAAGTTCTTAATTTTTATGACCTCATTAACATTTTGTTTTTCCTTTTAATTGTAGCCATTGCAGTGGGTATAAAGTGACATTTCACTGTATTTTTATTTTTCTCTAGAGCTTTGATATTGAGCATCTTTTTATTTTTTTATTGACTATGTTTTATTTGTAGAACTATCTATTCAATTCTTTGCCCATTTTATTTATTTATTTACTTATTTATTTTGGTATTGGGGATCAAACTCGTGACTGCGTGCTTGCAAGGCAGGTGCTTATGCTGCTGAGCTAAATTCCTGGCCCTCTTGCTTATTTTAAAACTGAGTGTCTTGTTGAGTTGTAAGTTTTATATACATTCTCAATACTAGACTCTTAGCAGGTATGTGGTTCATAATTATTTTCTCCCTTTTATTAATCATCAAATTATTTTAGATAAGCTGAGATTTATGAATTTGGGATTAAGGTTAAATTTTCTGTACTTTCATTGGCTTTATCATTTTTTGTAAAATCTTTTAGCTTTCTCTGTTTTCTCTTTTGCACATTAAAGCAAATACTTCTCTTTACTCCTAAGTGTTGTATTTTCTAAATGAAGACTTTGAGTATGTTGAAAAAAGTATGTGATCCTGTTTGTATGATGTGTCTTTTACAAGATGTTACTGCTTAGGTCAGGTATGGAGGTGCATATCTGTAATCTCAGCATTTTGGGAGGCTGAGGCAGGAGGATCGCTATGAGTTTGAGGCTAGCGTGGGCTAAAAAAATGACTTCAAGGTCAAACTAAACTGCACAGAGAAATCCTGTATCAAATAGACACCACACCAAAACAAATCCTACCTCTTCACTTTGATGGAGATGAGAAGTAACTGTCTGCTTGGCCCAGCCCCTGGTTCTTTCGCACTGGCCCTTAATATTTTTCTTTCTTTTTTTTTGTCTTTTTCCTTTTTATCGGTACCGGGGATCGAACTCATGACTGCCTGCTTTCAAGGCAGGCGCTTATGCTGCTGAGCTAAACCCCCAGCCCCCTTTTTCTGACCCTTAGTTTCAGACTTGGTATATACCAGGAAGAACAGCTGGTTAGAACCATTGTGTCACTTTGGCTAAAGTGGTATAATCAGCAATAACATCAAATATAGCCTAAAAAATGAAAAACTGAGGCAACCATTATTTTCCACCTTTAACTGTCTGAACTAGATTTGTGGTTATACAGTAAAGTGTAAAACAAACCAGAGAATTGTATGCAGTAACTAAGACCTCAATATGCCAATTTTAACCTCAAGGGAAAAAACTTAAAAGGGGTTAGGAGAAAAAAATAGAGAAACACAGGAAAAGGAGTAGATTAGTTGTAAGGCTAGAGAACAAAGGGGGATCATGAAAACTTTGGGAAACTGGTGCAGAAGATAGGAGGGAAAGAGAAGAAATAAAAGGAAGAACAGAACAGAATAACGGCCACAAAGAAAACAGAAGCCATGTTCACACTCATATAAAAACAAAATCAGGAGAAAAAAAATGGTGGCTTGCTAGGGGGCTGGATGAAGAGTCTCTGCGGAGAAATCAGATCAGATACTAAAATATGATGCCATAGAATAAGGCCAGACGATTGAATAATGATTCTTATTAACCAAGGCAGTAACCGAAGGGATAAATAAAACTAGGAAGAGGAAGGAAAAGCGCAGGTGGAGAACTGAAACCCAACACACTCACTGAGACCCACTCTATGCTGTACTAGGCGCGCATGGAAGATCCAAAGTCGCGCTGAGACCGCAGCTGCCAGTAACGGGAGTCGGTGAATCCTGGACCCTTAACAGGAGGGATGCAGCACAGTGAGCAGTGGATCCAAGGGGAAGAGCTATATTGGCTTTCGGTGAGTGCTGGAAATTGGGACCCGGGGCCCTATGAAGCAGCCAGAGCCACCTGGCCATGCCGGAGGAGCCTGCAAGAGGACCATACACCTGTACTCCGAAGCCAGGCACTGCACAGTTTTCTGACCGATCTACACTGTGCTGGAAGTGCAGTGAAGATAAGTGGCACAGTGTGCAGTGGACCCATGAGGAAGAACCATTGATTCCCAGTGAGTGCTTAGGGATTGGGTCCCGCGACTGCTGGTTGCTGGCTGGAGGACATCTTGGAGTTGGGCAGAGCCCCGTGCTGTGGTGACATCAGTCAGCCACCCCTGGTGCAGAGAGAACTGGCGGGGTCTACTAGGGCTGAGCTATGCGTCTGGTTGGGACCCAATAAGCAGGTACAAAATTGTCACGACTCTGTGGCGTCCACAAGGTACAGCCTAACTTGTGGATTGACTGGCTCAGAGGCTCGAGGCTAGCCTGCACATCCCTGCATCCCTGTGTGTACCTCAGATAACAGCAAATTGGGGAGGGCAGCAAAACCCCAGTCAGCACGCTTCAGGAAGACCCTAAGCAATATGGAGAGGTCCAGAGACCCCCAGGACACACCAGCCTGAAAGAAACCAGAAACATGACAAGAGTGAGAAATAAAAAAAAAAAAAAAATCTCCAGCTGCCAAACCTGGGAAAATAAGCCCAGGAGAAGTAAATACAGAAGAGAACCAGTGCAGTAACCATCCAATAGTAGACACAGCATCAGCGGACAGAAAGAAATACCTTCATGACCTCATAGACAAATTTAAAACTGTACTTCTGATCCAAGTGAGGCAAGATATAAAAAGATTAATTAAAGAAATGATAAGCCTCTCCCAAGAGAACACAGATGGAAGAATGGAGGAAATCAGAAAGGAAAGAGAAACCTTTGATGAAGAATTTAAACATAACCTAGAATATATGAAACAGATCCAAAGAGATTACCAGCAAACTAAAAGCTCCTTTGAAAATCGGCAAAATGCCTTGACAGAAACTAAAGTTAGTCTTTTGAAACTTGAAGAGAGATTTATGATATATGATTGCAAAAGAAAAGATCTCTTAAAAATAAGAATGAACCAGAAAGAAACAATTCAAATGCTAGAAGATGACAAAAGGACACATAACGTAAGAATAAAGCATGTAAGCGAAGACGCAGGAGTAATCAAAAATGAACTACAAAGACTATTCACAGATATAATAAAGGAAAACTTCCCAAGCATAGGAAAAAGAAATGATATTTAGATAAATGAGCCATGCAGAATTCCAGCCACCTACATCCAAAACAGATCTATACCCAGACATATAATAATCAAGATTCCAGAAATCCATCAAAAGAACAGAATATTAAAAGCAGTCAGGGAAAAGAAGCAGATTATCTACAATGGAAAAATTATCAAAATAGCAACAGACTTATCAACACAAACTGTCAAATTGAGAAGAGCCTGGTGGGAAATAGTCTAAACCCTGAAAGAAAATAATCTGTAACCAAGACCCATGTACCCAGAAAAAGTCTCTCTCAAAATTAATGGAGAAATAAGATGTTTCCAAGACAAGGAGGAACTGTGGGAGTTCATAGCCACCACCCCAACTCTACAAAAAATACTGAAGGACATTCCAGAAAGAGAGGAAAAAATACCAAGATTCCAGCAACAGTGGCATAGAGGCCTCAATGAATGAGGCAGACAGTGGAATGAAGGAGTAAGATGGACAAATTATAGCAGTAAATGTCGAGTAGCAGACATGAGGCAGAGATGGTAAGCTATAATCTTTAATATAGATAGCCTTTATACACTAAAATAAAAAAACAGGCAGAGTAGATTAGGAGGCAGGCTCCATCGAGATGCTCTGAATAGGAAATGCACTCAACCCAAAAGAGCTGGGTTAATAAACTGAAAGTCAAAGATGCGAAAGCAAAGCTATATGTGACGGAAACCAGAGAGAAATAGGGCCAACTCATCCAGCACCCACAGATAGATTGGAAAGCTATGACATTTTTGGGCAGTGTAGAACTACACAGCTGGAAGGAAGGAAAACTCTATGACTTTAGAAAGTAAAGGAGTACAGCTCAAGATCAAGCTCAGGGGTAAAAAGGTTCAACAACACTCAGATAGACAACAGGCTGGCCGCCTAATCTAAAAACTAAAGGGGCTAGTGAGACCCAAAACATAAAAAGCATCCTGAGAAGGGGAAAGGTGAAAAATAGCCTAAATAAGCAAGGCAGAGGTCATTGTGAATAGTGTATTAGGATTTAAGAGTCACAGTAGTCTTTTTTTTTTTTTTTTGTCTTTTTGTCTTTTTCATTTTTAAGCATACCAGGGATTGAACTCAAGACTGCCTGCTTGCAAAGCAGGCGCTTATGCCGCTGAGCTAAATCCCCAGCCCCAAGTCAGAGTAGTCTTGTCACTCTGTTTAGTTTGATTTTATTTTGTTCCGGTCTGTCCACTTATATTAGATTTGAGGGCACAGACATCTAACCCAAAAATAGCAGGTTATACATAAAATAGCATGGTAACTATCCTTAATTTCCTATTAACTTAAACTGAAACCCTATATTACTTACATTGTCTTACTTTGACTGATCTTATTTGAAGCCCGGCTTGTTAAACCGCGATTTTGCCTTGCCTGATTTTATTCGAACTTGGAATGCTTAATAGTATCAAGTCTAAGAGTAGAGGCAACTACTCTGAAGATGATAAGATGTAAAAGATATCCATACCGGTTTTGATTATTAACCGCTTTCAAGTCCTATAAAGTCTTCAAAGTTGTGTTTTTATAAAAATAGCGATGTAATACTATGCTTAATTATGTTAAACCTGATGATGTGAACAAGTCTGTTGAAAATAACAGAAAGCATAGTAACTACGGTAGATCACCTAATATTGTAGTCTTATGTATCTTCTTCATTGTGTGTTTTTCTAGGAATTTGTTTTGTTGTCTTGTTATGATCTGTTTTTCCATATAATACAGAGAGGATAGATACACATGTAGAAATTCACACATGGGAATAATTTTTTAAATTATTTACGGGTACAGATTATATAATGCATGATTGTAATGAACAGATACTCTGAAGAAGAGACACTAAGAAACCCAATGCTAATTCTGTAACATTATTATATAAAATCTAGCAATACTATTTTTTACTGTTCAGAGTGATATTAGTCTAGTCTCTTAAGTTCAATGTCAGCTTACATAAAGTTAATGATAGCCACTACGAAGAGAATGAGAGACATTATGGTAGTCATTATTGACTTCCCCAGTGTCAGGTCTTGAAGACCTAAAAAGCCTTCATCATCCTGTTATGATTAGATTAGTTCTATAACATGCAGTATATATTCAATGTGTGTGAAGATGGGGACAAGTATTTGGAAGAAAACTAGAGACAGTAAGATAGACAGTGAAGATCTCCAGTGGACTTGCTTTGAAATCTGTATTTCTTTAAATTGTTTCTTTATGAACTGTTTTGTTCTGTTTTGATATGTTTAATCTTACCCTCTTTAAGATAAAAAACAAGTGTGTAGGACTGATAACCATATTACTAAGGTTTTTTTTGATCATTGAGCAGAACTGTTGGCAGTGTCACTCTTTGAATGTCACTTTGTATGATTTAATTTTGTAACCTGAAAAACTATTTCTAAGATGACAATATGTAACTTATCAGCTAGTGATTTCTTACTGTTTATTTTTCTGTAATTCTGTATTATTTCTACCCTTTGTTTCTTGTTTTTTTCTCTTTAAAAAAAAATAAAAAAATAAAATCAAACAATGAAGGAGAAAAAAAATCAAGAATAGAGAAAAACATCCACGTCCACAGGTTTGTTTTTGCTGTCCCTGCTAGATGGCATGTGAAGATGGAGTCCAGATCTGTGTTACTTTAGCCTAGCAAGCTAGCAGTAGCTTTATGGTAGGGCAGTGGTAATCTCAGTGAACCTGCACCTTTTTTCTCCTGAAGTTCAGGCTGGTTTTTGACCATTAGGCTAAGACTAGATCCATTCATCCTGCAGTTTTCAGTGTATCTCCTGTGGACTTGAACTCAGCTGGGAGCTTCTAGATGGACCCAGCAGTTGTTCTGAGCTCTGTTAGTCCCTCTGCAAGAAGGCTCCTGGCCATTTTCCCTTTTCTTCTGGGAGACCAATTCCCCAACGCTCACCCCTGCTGTGTCTCTCTTTGGAGGCCTCTGGTGTTGCTGCAGGTTCAAACTATTCTTCGCATGCAGTGAGTTCTGACTTAGTGAAGGCTGAGCTGACTGTCGCCTTCTTCTTCTTCGAAGTTCTGTTTGCTCTTCTTAAGGGCTTCAATTCTCACTTCAGATCTTTTCTTGGTCCAGAGGATCTACCTCTGTCCTTCTCTTACTTACACTGGTGTATTCCAGTATCTGAACAGCAACTGTCAGTGTCTCTTTCTCTGATGCTACTCTGCTATCTTCCCAGAAGTTGTGTTTTTTTTTTTTTGTTACTGTTTTTTTTGGTATCAGGGATCAAACTCACACTTCCAGAAGTTGTTTTTTTAAATTTTTTGAAAAATAAAATAATGTATAAAGTGTAGAAAAGAACAGAAAACAGATGTATAGACTAGTGGATTATTAAAAGATGTTTGAATTCTTTTATAACTTCTACTGAGAAACTCCTTACTCTGTGCCTCATCCTATCATAGCCTCTCCTTCCCTTCAGAAATTATCTCTACTTGACATAAAAAGTAATCACTTGCTTGTATTTTTAAAGTTTTTGTCATTGAACTTTGTATCTCTAGATCATTAAAAAAAAAGTGGATATATTTAAATTTCTTGTAGTCTGTAGGTTTTCCTTGTATCACTTTCTTTTCCTTAACATTTATATCTTGAGAAACCCATAGGTGTTTGATGTATAGTGTTTCCTATAGTCTGAATTACATATGTATGGAGCATTCCAAAAATTTTTTGGTGTCCTTTGTATTGGTTATAAATTATAGATAGCAACTGAGATTCTGGCTCAGTTTCTTTGGCAAGATTATAGTTGGTTGTGTGTTCTTTCAACATGATGTACAGAATATCTGGTTTTTCCTGTGTGATTTTAGCAGTTGTTGATGTGTTGTTTCTACATTCACTAGTTTGAGTTTTTGAAATAGCAGTTTTCAGTTACTGACTGTAACAATGTGTTAAGGAAACATTTCCCAATCTCTTTGGTTCTCAATAGCATAGTTCATATAAGAAAGGCCCAGTTCTTCCTATTTGCCTTTTGTAAGATAATGAATGGGTTATCTGTCATCTTCAGGTGATTAATTTTTTTTATCAGTGTGGGTGCATATGTGTTTAAATATAGAACATGTTTTGAACTAATTTTACATTTGTTATACTAATTGAAACTCAGATTTTTGTATTCAAAAATTTTTAATTTAATTCTTCAGTCTTTTATGACCTGATCCTGATTTTTCTTGTATGTTAAATTGTTGTAGGGTGACTTCCCCTCATGCAACTATTTCAGCTATTTCTCCAAGATAAATTGGTTTGTTTTAGTAGGAAAAAGTATTTCAAAACAACCATAATATATATGCTAAGAATATTGGTTTTAGTTCTGTTGGTCATTATGCCTTGGACTTTGCAGTGGATAGAGAAAAATGAAAATATATAAGTTTTCTTGGGAATTTACAGAGAGATATACAAAGGACTACCTTTTTTGTTTAAAGCTCAATCTCCTATATATCCTATCTGTATATTAATCCTCTTTAATAACAAGAATGATGTTCTCAAAGGCTCAACAAAGATGATGTAATTACAGTATCCAGGAATTATTCATTTGCTTAATTTTTAAAAGTTCATGTTTAAACTACATAATGAATACATTCATTGTGGGCAGTTGGTACATACACATGACACATATTAATTCTTTGCATTTTATCCTTGTTACTTTTCTTATTGCTGAGAAAATACTTAAACCCAAAGTAAAGAAGGAAAGGTCTATTTCAGCTTATAGTTTGTGGGGATTTCAGTTCATAGTTAGCTGGTCCATGGCAGAGGGGCATTACAGATGAGAAGCAGTTCATGGTGGGCAGAAGGCAGCAAGGCAGTTAAGTAGTGAAGAAGCAGCAGTCCCAGCAAGTGATGACAAGCAGTCCTTTTTCTGTCTGTTATATTCTATGCTCTTAGGGTGGGTAGCACTTACCCAGGTTGGGCCTTTACATTATCTGTATCCACAATTATGCTAAATGAATCAGTGGACAGATTTGTTAACCACACACCCTTGATCCCAGCATCATATACTTCATTGCAACATCACACATCTATATCTAGCCAGCTCTAAAAAGCCCCATCTATGACCACATGAGGTTTTGGGGTAACTTCTAAATACAAGCCTTAAACATTCCATTACAGTATTTTCCAGAAATCTCTTAGTCTTCTTCCGATTTGCTGGAGATCTGTCTTCCTGCTTCTTCTTTTTTTTTTTTTTTTTTTTTTTTTTGGTACTGGGGATCGAACTCACAACCTTGTACTTGCCAGGCAGGTACTTATGCCACTGAGCTAAATCCCTGGCATTTTATTATCTGTTTTATTTCACTTTTTCATGTATTTATACTTTGGCTTTCTCATTTAAGAGAAACCATAGATTTTTTAAGCTTCTGTGTCTGAGTTTTAAAACCAAAACAATAAAAATTACGATACAGAACTTCAAAACAAGATAGTAGGAAATTAATAATAGTTAATATATTGTATATTGTTACCTTCAAGGTAGTTGCTCAGATTACAAGATATAGGTATATAGCATTGATCAAACAATATAAGCACAGACTATTCTTTTCAATGAACTAATGGAAATTAGTAGTATAATTATCTTAGCTATCTTGTGATATAGACATAGATATAGATGTATAGATATATACATATATGTATTTTTTGCCTTATTCCTTCCTTTCCTCTTCTATCCCAGGTGTTCTTTCCTTGAGCAATTTCTTTCCTTTTCACAATATTTATTGTACATTTTAGATCTTATGTACTCTTTCAGTTTCTTATACTAGGGGAGATAGTATGAAGTTCATAATGTGAGTCTGATTTATTTCACTTATGAGTATGGTGTTTAGTTGCATTCATTTTCCTGTAAAAGTCTTGAGTTTATCCTTGTTTATAAATCAGTAGTACTCTATAAAAATACCTCATCTTTTATCCCTTCCTTGGTTTATGGGCCTTTGGGTTGTTTCCAAGATTTAGCTTTACAAATTGTGCTGCTGTAAACATTAATATATAAAATATGGAATGATTCATGAATTTATTTGTCATCTTTGCACAGGAGCCATGGCAATCTGTGTTTTGTTCCAGTTTTAGTATATGTGCTGCTGAAATGAGCATGGGTGCACATATATTGCTGTGGTATGGTGTTTTTAATTATTCTGGGAAAAAACCGGAATGGGAATAGCTGGGTTGAATGGGACCTGTAATCCTAGTTTCTGGGGAATCCCCACATTGATTTCCACAGTGGTTTGTATAGATAAATTTCTCACCAACAATAGAGAAGTGTTCCTTTTTCCTCAAACTCCTCTATCGTTTGTTATTTGTTGATTTCTTGGTGATGGCTATTCTTTATGGGGTGAGTTGGAATCTCAGGGTTGTTTTAATTTGCATCTCTTGAATGATCAATGATGTTGAACATTTTTTCATGTACTTACTTGGTGTTTGTATTTCTTCATCTGAAAAGTGTGTATTCATCTCAAATGCTCATTTTTGGATTAGGTCTTTGAATTTGGTAGGGGGTTCTGATTCTTTTCAATTCTTTATATGTTCTAGATAGAAGTACTTTGACTGAGGGATAGTTGGCTAAAAATTTTTCCCACTCTGTGGGTCTTCTTTTCATGGTGTTGATGATTTGTACTGGCAAAAAAGAGACCTGAAGATCAGTGGGACAGATTATATGATGCAGATACAACTACAAACACACTGAGCCACCTTATCTTTGACAAAGGGGCCAAACATATTCAGTGGATGAATGATAGTCTCCTTAATAAATGGTGCTGAAAAAGTGGCTTTCTGCATGCCAGAGACTAAAACTAGACCCATGTGTATCACCATGCAGTAAACTAAAGTCAAAATGGATCAAAGATCTAAATATTAAAACAGAAACACTAAAGCTACTGATTGAGAAAGTAGTTAGAAATCTTGAAGACAAGGGGCAGAATTAGAGAATTCATGAACAAAAACCAAACTGCATAGGAAGTACTTCAGAGATTGAACAACTGGGATCTCATCTTGTTAAAAAAATTTTGTATATTCAAAAAAAGTGGCCAGAGGTTTAGCTCAGGGGTTTAAGTGCCTGCTTGGCAAACACGAAGTCATGAGTTTGATCCCCGGTACCAAAAAAAAAAAAAAAAAAAAAAAAAAACAAAAAACCAACAAAAAAAAACACCAAAAAACCAACAGAGTGAAAATGTTTTCTTTTTTTTTCCTTTTTTTTTTTTAATTTAAGGAGAAAAGAAAAAAAAAGTGAAAGGGTACAAGTTATACAGATTTACAGAACAAAAAAATGAACAGTAGGAAATCACTAGTTAATGGATTACATATTGCCATATTAAAAATAATTGTTCAAGTCACAAAATTAAAGCTTGTAGAGTGGACATTCCAACAATGATACTGCAAACAGTTCCGTTCAATGATCCAATAAAACTCTGTGATAGCATTTTCTATCTTATACACTTAAATATACATGCAGTTATATAGTTTAGAGCACTTTCTTTTCCTCTCTTTTGTATAATGACTGTTACACATTTTGGGTTTCATTGCTCCCACGGTTCTTATTGCTATTTTGGAAGAGAGTAAAACCAAATGAGACATAACAGGACAGATTCGGTCAAGTCAAAAGGGTGGACATAATAGATAATATAAAAACATAATACAAGGTGATCATCAATGGTTACCATAATGCCTCCCGCTATCTCTAATAGAATTGCCTATATCATTAGTTATAATACAATTGAACAAAATAGTAAAGAACAAAACCGACAAAACCAAAACATTGGAGACATTGTAGGTCTTCAAAAGTAGATAAAAGTCAATGAGAATGGGCGTTATAATGAATCTCATTATCTTCACAGCTGATGCCTAAACTTTCGAACCTGATACTATCCATCAAAACAGAATAGGGGAACATCAGTCAAAAACAAGATGATGAGAGTAATACAGGGCTTCAAATCGAGATAATAGAAAGTCAAAGTGGGTTACTATATTATATCCTGCTATTTTTTCCCTTTAATTAAACGGATAAAAATAAAAAAGTAAATAATGGAGTGGAGATTGAGAAAAAAGAGGGCATAACAGCAAAACAGCGCAGATCAAAACATAACCATTTAAGCAGAATAGTGTTTCACCACCAGATAATTCCGACCTAAAAGTAGTTACCATATTGACTCTTTCCTTGAAGTCCTTGAGTACAACTTCATATACTGTAGCATTAAGTATATCAAAACAATGTAAAACCATTTAAGAGAATGGCAGCATTACAGAGTATTTAGAATCGACTAACAGAAAATGAACAATGATTTCTGTATAATCTCCTTGTCTTTAAAAGGTTTTTGCTTATACTATCGTACATAATAAAATCCAGTAAGATACAACCTGTTTAGACCATTGGACACAGAAGAACAAAAGCTAGATGAGACTTCAAAACAAGATGATACTAAATCAGTATTACCTATTAAGATGTCATTTTCTCTAAAATAGCTGTTCCTATCATCCAATCTTCTCTGTCTCATTTCTGTTGAGCTCTTTTTCTGTCAGTAGCTGTCAGTTTGTCTTCTTCATTTTGTTCTCTGCTCCATTCGTTGTGGCCTTCCTGCCACCATTTCTGGGTTCTTTGTATTTTTCTTTTTTTAGAATATCCTGCAATACTTTCTGTAGGGTTGAATTGGTGGTTGCAGATTCCCCCAGTTCCTCTTTATCCTGAAAGCACCTTGTTTTTCCATCAATTTCCAGGGACAGTTGTGCAGGATATCTCAATCTTGGCTGGAGATTATTATCTTTCAAAGCTTGAATTATTTCCCCCCATGCTCTTCGTGATTTGATGGTTTGTGCAGAGAAATCTGCTGTAATTCTGATGGGTGTTCCCTTGTAAGTGGTCTGTTTCTTGTCTCTTACAGCTTTTAATATTCTGTTCTTGAATTGAATTTCTGGAATTTTTATTATTATATGCCTGGGTGTTTCTCTGTTAGGGTTGTAGGTAGCTGGGGTCCTGTATGCCTCATACATCTGAATATCTTTACCTTTTGCTAAATTAGGAAAATTCTCCTGGGTTATTTCTGTGAGTAGCTTTTGTAGTTCACTTGTTTGTGTCTCTACTTCTTCTTTTATGTTCTTAGTCCTTAAGTTATGGCTCCTTTTATCATCTTCTTGTCTTTGTATTATTGCTGTTTGTTTCTTTGTTATTTTTAAGAAGTTTTTCATTTCATTCTCCCATATTACAAGTCTGCCTTCCAGTTCAGATAGTCTGTCCTTAGTTTCTTTCAAGCTGTTATGCCAGTCTTGGATAGACTTCTTAATTTCTTGATAGTCCCTTTGAACCTGCTTCACGTATTCTATGCTTTCTCTGTTTTCTCCATCAAACAATTCTCCCCTCTTTTTCTGTTCTTCCATTCCACCATCTGTTTTTTCCTGGGTGGTGCTTAGCATTTCTCTAACTATTCTGCATACTTCTAGCTTCAGGTTGTTGATAACTTTATTCCTGAATTGGTCTACGAGGCTCTCTATATGGCGCTTAATGTCTATTGGTGCGGTGTCCGCTATTGCCTGTTTCTCAGAATTGGGGGCCGAGGAGCCTTTCTTGTTGCTTCCCTTCCCCATTTTCTCCGTTCCTTATAAAATGCAAGCTTACATAGGAGGCCCAGCTTCCCTGCCTGTCAGCCACAGCCTGATCAAATTGCGCTGGCTAGGTGTTCCAGCCCACCACTGCGCACCAGGGAGTTACGGACTAGGCAGCCTACGTGGGAGTCACCCCTCCGGGCCACCGTCAGGCTCTGGGATCTGGGTTAGGCCAGCCTACCAAATCCGCCCGCAGCGTCACGCAGGCCAGGCACTTTTCACCAATCCCGTCCGAGACGGGAATGTGTGCCTGGAGTCGCCACCACGCCCTGCTCTTACAGGACTGCCCGAGCCCAGAAAGTCCTCCGCTGGAGTCAAACTGTGGTGGAGTGTCAGTTTCTCTCACTCAACTCGCCACCAGTCAGTGTACGCCTCCTTGTCCGTCCTGTTTTCGACTCCGTTCGCAGACTCCGGTTTCCAGAGCTTCTGCGTGTCTCTCCTTGCCGAGCAGCTGTGGAGGCAGTCAGCCGCCGAGCGGCGGGAAATCCAAACCGCGGTTTCCAATGGCACGGGGTCCAGCCTCCACAACGAGACTTTTCTGTTCCTATTTTAGGGCCAGGACTGCATTCCAAGTTGGTTTCTCTCAGCCCAGTTCGTTCCTGAGTCAGCAGAGCATATCTCTACCGGCTCATGTCTCCTTAGTCCGCATCATTCCTGATTTCTGAGCCGAGCCTTTCAGAGAGCCTCCGGTAGTTGTTGTTAACTATCCGCCATGTTCTCCCGGAAGTCTTCCTTTTTTTTCTAAAACAAGGTCTTGCTATGTAGTTTAGGCTAGCTTTGTACTCATTAGGTAGCCTAAGTCAGCCTCAAATGTGCGGAAATCCTCCTGCCTCAGCCTCCCAACTGGGATTACAGGTATGTGCCACTATACCCAGCTTGATTTATATCAGTTGATATATGGATTCAAGGTGAGTCCATTTTCCTACAAATGATTCATTTATCTTTCTTTATGGTAGAGTAGTATTCCATTGTGTATAAATATCTTATTTTCTTTATCCATTCAGCTGTTCATGATGGACATTCAGGCAGTTTCCATAATTTAGTTACTGTGAATTATGTTACTATAAGCTTGGGGCAGATTGATTTTGTCCTTTAAAAAGACATAAATTGCAGCTATATCCTTTTTTAAAAAAATAACTGCCCAAATTTTGTCACCCTTGAAAAAAATGGTAGAGGAACAAGAGATTGATGAAAATGATGTTAAAAGAAAAGGAGGAAATGGAGATTTAGCTCAGCAGTATAAGCATCTGTGTGACAAGCATGAGATCTTGAGTTTGATCCCTGGTATCAAAAAGAAAAAAAAAAAAAGAAGAAGAAAAAGAGGAAGAAGAGGAAGTGGAAGAAGATGAAGAACAACCAAAGACTTTCCATAGAAAGCCATAAGATGACATCTGGTAGATACATTGTTGGCCATAGATAAGTCCTAGTTAATTTTTTTTTTTAGACAGACTTTCACTATATTTCAGGCTGCCCTTGAACTTGTGGTGATCTCATGTTGTGGGATT